GCCTTCTTTGCCAAAATGGAAAAGCCAGTCCTTAAATTAATATGGAAAGGTGCTCTGGTGGTGCAGTAGCTAAGGCACTCAACTGCTAATCAAAAAAAGGTCAGTGGTTCAAACCCACCAGCCACTCTATGGATGAAAGATGAAGCAGGCTGCTTCTATAAAGACTTACAACCTTGGAAACCCTGTGACGGTTGCTGAGTCAGAATCACCTTGATGGCAGTGAATTTGGTTTGGTTTTGGTTTTAAACTAATATGGAACTATAAGGAGCCCAAAACAGCCAAAGCAAAACAGTCTGATGTTGGTATAATGACAGAAATATAGACCAGTGGGATAGAATTGAGAATCAAGAAATAAACCCATATATCAACAGTCAATTAATTCTCAACAAAAGTGCTAACAGTTCATTCAATAGGGAAAGAATAATCTCTTCAATAAATGATGCTGGGACATCTGGATTTCCACAAGAAATTACTGAAGATGGGCCCATATCTCATATCATACATGAAAATTAACTCAAAATGGATCAACAATCTAAACGTAAGAACTAAAAATCATAAAACTCTTACAAGAAAATGCAAGGGTAATGTTTTAGAATCTAGTTTTGGACAATGGATTCTTAGAGATGACAACAAAAGCATGAGCAATGAAAGACAAAATAGATAAACTGGACTTCATCGAAATTAAAACTTTTTGTTCATATCCACAAAAAGTGAAGAAACAACCTACTGACTGGGAGAACATTTTGGGAAACGATATATCTGTTAAGAATTTAATATTCATAACATACAAAGAATAACATACATAACTTAACAACAAAAAAGACAAATAGCCCAATTAAAATGCAGGCAAACGATTCCAACAAACATTTCACCAAAGAAGATATACAAATGGCCAGAAACACATGAAAAGATGCTCAACATCACTGGTCATTAAGAGAATGCAAATCAAAAACACAGAGACATACTACTTCACCACTATTAGCATGGCTATGATCAGAAAAACAGAAAACAACAAGTGTTGGCAAAGATATAGAGAAGTTAAAACACTTATCCATTGCTGGTGGGATTGTAAAATGGTACAGTCTCTTTGAAAAACAGTTTGACAGTTCCTCAAAATGTTAAAGAATTACCATATGCAATTCTGTTCATAGGTATATAACCGAAAGAACCAAAGCAGGGACTCAACAGACACATGTACACCAATGTTCACTGCAGCACCATTTACAATAGCTATGGTAAGGTGGAAACAATCTAAATGTCCATCAAGAGAGGAATGGATTTAAAAAGAAAAAAGAAAAGTGATACATATGTACACACACAGGAATATTATACAACCATAAAGAAAAATGAAGTTCTGATACATGCTGCAACATGTATAAACCTTGAAAACATATTGAGTGAAATAAATCAGTTACAAAAGGATAGGTATCGTACAATTCCACTTATATGAAATATAGAGAAAAGGCATATGCAGAGGGACCGAAGTTTATTAATGTACCAGGGGTGCAAGGAGGGAGAAAAGTGGAGGCACTGCTTAGGGAGCAGAGAGCTTCTGTTAAACGGAATCAAAAAACTTGGAAATGGATAGGGGTGCTGTTTATATAACATAATGAACATAATGTCACTAAATTATACATGTAATAAATGTTGAAATGATCAATGTTTGGTTATATATATTTTTGCCACAAGAAAAACAGAAAGGAAAATGATCAGCTGTCTTGAAATCATAGATGTATACATAGCTCCAGTTCATTCTGATGTTTCAAAATGATCACTCCTCTCAAAAAAGTCCATAGACTCTACACAGAACATTGTTTCACATCCTACTTTGGCAAGTAGCAATAGGAATCTTAAAAGCTTGTAAGCAGCCATCTAGATGCACCAATGGGTCTCTCCTTGTCCAGGGCAAAGAATTAAGAAAACCAAAGATTTATGGAAACAATTAGTCCAAGCAACTAGTACACCATGCGATCCTCAGCCTATATGACTATGAGACCGGAACTAGATGGTGCCCGGCTGCCACTGTCAACCACTTGAAGGGGGATCTATATAGGAGATCCTGGATAGAGTGGGAGAACAATGTGGAACAAAACTCAAAATAAAAAAGCGGGGG